TTTTGTTATATATATATATATATATATATATATATATATATACATACATGCATACAAAAAAACGATTTTAATTAAATCTTCAAAATATAAAATATTAATATATACTAAAAATATGAATATAATTAGAACAAATATAATTATTTAATTTACTTGTAATAAATAAATATATTTATTTAGTTATCCTTTTGATACTGTCATTGAGAAGGTAGGGGTATCTTTACTTTTATCAGTTAAGTATTGACTATATTTTGTTATGGAAAAACCCTGTCCCTATGCATTTATTCCCTTAAGAAATGATAAATGATAAAAAAAACTGCCGTTTTTAAAAACATTTTATTTTTAACCTCATCATTGCGTTTAATGCAGTACAGTTTTACATTTTGGAATGTTAGTTTAAGAAATACCACTCTGCTTATGACATGACTTTATGTATTACTGGCTTATAGTCGCATTTTCAGAATAGATAATATAATTTATATAGTATGTGACCCTGGACCACAAAATAAGTCGCTGGGGGATATTTGTAGCAATAGCCAAAAATACACTGTGTGGGTCAAAATTACTGATTTTTCTTTTATGCCAAGAAAAATGGACCCTTATGACTGGTTTTGTGGTCCAGGGTCACATATGGCCTCTCTGAAGTCATTCCAGGTCATTAAAGGTCAGCACGCTATGTGACGGTGATGTTTCTCTCAGGCGGTCTGGACTCGGTGGAGTACTACGAGATCGGCAGTAACGAGTGGAAGATGGCGTCTCCGATGCCATGGCGCGGCGTGACGGTGAAGTGTGCGGCCGTGGGCTCCGTCATCTACGTTCTGGCCGGGTTTCAGGGGGTCGGCCGTCTGGGGCACATCATGGAGTATTACACAGAGACCGACAAATGGGTGATTTCCAGTAAAGTCCGCGCGTTTCCCGTCACCAGCTGCCTCATCTGTCTGGTGGACACCTGCGGCGCCAACGAAGAGGACATGAATTCAACCTCTTCTTCCTCATCTTCATCATTGGCGGATGGAAGAATGTAGCGTTGCTTTCAGAGCATATAGATGATACAAAACCACTGGAAACACAAAGCAGAGAACAGACTGGGTCCTCATTGTGCCAAGACGTTCACTGCGTTATGATCTCCAGATAACGGTTTGTGTCTTTAGTGCAGATGCAGATGTGAAGAGCTTGTGCCACTTAGATTGAACCGATCAGATTTACTTTAAACATTATTTTTTTGTTGAGATAGGACTGCTTTTGTCTTGATGTCCACCTCTTTGCCAATTTTTGATCTTAGAGTTTTAACAGCCAACTTGTAGGTGAAAATGTCCATAGATGTCCACAGTTCATTCTTTGGAAACATTTGTACCTCTGCATTTAGCAGATTTTGGGGACTAAAACGGTTTTTATGTTTTAAGAATGTGTTTTGACGTGTTTATATTATGTGTAAACGAACTTGTAACTTTTATTTTTTAAATAATGATCATATTATCATTTTGATGCTGCAGAACTACAATAAAACAGGCCAGAAACTTTCTCAAAGTGAATCAATCAGTTCAGTTCACCAGTTTATAGAAGCATCTGTTTGAATTAGTTTTTAAATATTTGAGTTTTAAATGTTTAATTTATTGCCCAATAACAGCTTTCTTTTGTGTTAATACATTCATTAAAAAGAGTATTTTTTATTTTACTTGCAATGTAACCTTATATTTTAAGAATTATTCTAGTCGTGTCCTCTTTTGAAGGGCCAAATTGGCGCCTTTTTATTTTAGAGTAGTAATGATGGCCTTTAGGTCAGTAATCAGAAATAAACACTAGGCGGCGTTTTTTTCAGAGTTTGAATACACGTGTAGAGTCAAGAGCATATGCAAAATAAAATGTATATTAATTACTGTCGATTAACCCTAATTAGTCCAGTAAAAATCAGTTTAGATGTTCTTTATAGTACTTTTAAGTTATTACGAATAGATTTTGCACCTTTTAATCCAGATGTTTTTCAGCTCTGGGAGCTTATTTTACGAGTTCTACTACGCTGACGGCTTTGCATATGAATATTAATTACGTAAGGTGACGTTTGGCTTGTAGTCCTACCTGATTGGCCGAAAAGGCGGGCGTTAAGTCAGTTGGCGAGTCTCATTATAGTGACGGCGTGACGCAAGAATATTAATTAGGTCATCTGACTGGACGCTTCAAAAAGGTTACTAAGCAACGTCAGAATTGCCTAATTAATATTCATGAGTCGAGTCTCTATAGTATGGTTGGTCATTTCGGCAGCGGAGCTGCGGTTGCGGGATTTCCATCCATCGTTCATAAAGAGTTTGACGGGTCAGGTCGCGACTGTATCCCGCCTTTATAGTCATAACAAGGCGTGTTCTGTAACGGACTCTGATCTACATCAACAGCAGCGGGTTATTCTTTTACTTTCTGTCGCATTTCCACTCACGCTGAGTGATGGACAACACGCTGTAACTTGGAGCCGCAGGACACAGGTTTGTTTACATTACACCGAATCTTTACTGAATATGAATGAATATTTTGTTGCTGCTACTGCGCTGTATTGAATCTTTATACACACACAGTCAGTCGTTTAACTCGGTTTATATTGTCCATGTTTCACAGACAGGACATTTCTCTGTGTTCAGTCACTGTAACATACTTTATGCTTTTAAACTCGGTCTGTTCGGTGTATTTCGGTTGTGAACGTGCTTAAGGGCTGACAGCGTGTCATAGAAAGTGAAAACAGATGTGAAATAATGCATGAAATATCATATTTTAAGCAAAACCAACCGATAATAACAAAATGGTTGGTTGTTTTATGTATTTGTCTTTTTAGCTTGTTTACTGTGTTGTCAGTTGGGTTGTTCACAAAAAGAACGTTTTAAATTAATGTTTATATGTATACAGTGTGATTTATACAGTGTATGTATGTGTGTGTATATATGTATATACTCTATATGTGTGTGTATATATATATATATATATATATATATATATACACACACACACACACATTTAAATTGTGTGATTTAAATTGTAATGATATTACACTCACATTTTATTTGACATTTTACTATTTTAAATACATACGTATGTATTTTACATATACACAGTTTATAAATACATTGTTGTGAAAAATCGAAGAGCACAAACTTGCATTTCTTAAAGGTGATATATCATAAAAATCTGACTTTTCCAGGTTTTAAGTGCTATAATCAGGTCCCCGGTGCATCTACCAACCAAGCACTCCCCTAGTGACGTTGCAAAGGGATCTCATTATAATATTACCGCCCCTTAATCTGTAAGTTTTCACCCAGGTGAAACGTTACTGTGTTTTTGCAAGTGACAACGGTGTATTAGTTCTAATGCCATGGCGAAAGTTTGAGCAAAACATGCTAACTGTTCTGCCTTAGTCTGCACAGATGAGCACAGAACACTATTTAGATCTAAAATAAACATGCGATTTATTTCCCAGCTGTTTACCTTCGCAGACATAACCGACTGTTTTTGTAACTCATGTGTGTTTTTAACGTAAACTTGTGTGTGAATGAGAACTTAGTTTAGTACTCACATGCTGTGTATATAATTGTATTTATTTTAATTCATATTTAAGAAATTTGAAATCATTTGAAAATGGATTAAAAGATAAACGTGTAAAATAAACATACTTATACTCTAGAAGACAAAGTATTTTTCACAAAAAAATAAATATTTAATCAAAATATAATTAAAAAGGAAATAAACACTGTAACCAACAGAGCACTCAGTATTCTGGGAAGTTTGTGTTCATTGGGAATCATATTTTTTCAAATAAAGCCAAGGTAACACTCATTTTACATACAGCACACAGTGAAAATGACATGAATATGATCCTCCTGTCCGTATTCAATTCGCACGGACCATAGGACCGACCGTCACAGAACACGCGATCATGCAGGTCACATACACACTTCACAAGATCTGAACTAGATTCGACGAAGTCTGCAAGGTTTGTGAAGTTAAATGTTCATTAATCATTCAAAGATTTGTTTAAATGATATAAATGCTCTTCTTTATGCACCAAGAGCTTGTAACACTCCAAAGAGAAAGGAAAAATTGAAATCGCATCATATGACACCTTTAATAATATTAATAAGCGCCCCCTTTGCGGCCATTATGCGCCCTTGATCTGCACTTCTGCCGAGCCCGCACTGGGGCGAGCTCCGCAGCAGACTTCTACCCCACAGTCAAAGAGGCATTACATCACGAAAGTGCAGACTCAGAGGAAGACCGCGAGGGCTTAAGGTACCATTTGGGACATGGCCACTATGTGCTCAGGCGCTGCCGCAGCCGTTCTCGGCGCCATCAAAATAAAAGTCCCGCCTCGAACACATCGTCCAAACAGAAAAACTTATCGGCCGATGCCGATATTTGAAAAATATAAATATAAATCGGCCTTGGCGATATATCGGTCGACCACTAATCAGAAGTTTAAACTCATATGGTTTAAACTGCATGATTTCAGCGCGATAAACATGATAATCAGAACCAAAACAAATGTTTTTAGCAGGTCCGAGCTGTAATGGTGTAGCTCTATTCTGGAAAAGGGGGCGGGGAGCAGCAGCTCATTTGCATTTAAAGAGAAAGGTGCGAAAACAGCATGTTTCTGCTTCCACTCAAAATAGGCATTTTCAAAATGTTATAATACTCTGTGGAGTATTTTTGAGCTGAGACTTAACGGACACATTCTGGGAACACCAGAGACTTATATTACACATTGTAAAAAGGGGCATAATATGTCTCCTTTAATGTAATTTAATACAACCATTGTTAAACGAATTAACTTAAATGTTTCTGCTGTGTGACATGAATTTTTAATTCATAAAAGGGGGTCATATGTAATAATTATACAGAAGGTTAGAGCACTTGTTTCCAGTAGTATAGCTAAACAGAAGGAGGTATGTGCTCAGGAATGACAAACCTTGCTTTTCTTGGTTTTTCCCAACTGGTCTGACATCTTTGTCAAACTTGGCTCCAGCAGTATGAATGCTCTCTCTGTCTGTACGTGACTTCGCTCGCCGCTTTGCTCAGGAATCATGAAGACCAGGGTCTGTGTTGCAACTATTGTGCATGTGGTGTAAACACACATACAGTCTTACAGTAGATGCTTTGGTCTTTCTGAGAGGACAGAACTGTGACAAACTCCATACTTTCATCAGTCCTAGTCTTATAGTCTGAACTTGATCCAGTTTCTGACAAGAAGCAGATGTTGCGCTGGGAGCGGTTCACTGCATGTCATTCTGATGGAAAAACAGAGGAGCATTCAGGGAGAACCAGACTATTAGACTGTATTATTTATTGCTGACCTCTAATGATGCAAATTTGAAAACATTCACTTAAGTGGAGAAAATCTTCTTGATATCCTGTTTCACTCACAAATACTTCACATTGTGGAATAGCCTACATTGTTTACAAATTCAGTTTGGCATTGACTTTAACATGTAGACGTGGGGTTTTCAATTTGTTAGGTCACCTGAAAACTGGATAAATAAGCTTTCCATTGATGTATGGTTTGTTAGGATCGGACAATATTTGGCCGAGATACAACTATTTGAAAATCTGGAATCTGAGGGTGCAAAAAAATCTAAATATTCAGAAAATCGCCTTTAAAGTTGTCCAAATTAAGTTCTTAGCAATGCATATTACTGCATAGTTTTGATATATTTATGGTATGACATTTACAAAATATCTTCATGGAGCATGATCTTTACTTAATATCCTAATGATTTTTTGACCCATACAATGTATTTTTGGCTATTGCTACAAATAAGTGACTTAAGACTGGTTTTGTGCTCCAGAGTCACAAATATCACCATCCTCATGTGAGGGACTCCCGTCCTGAAATTTTTTTAAGTCGGCTATTTATTTTGATGTATAAAGACCCAATTTAAACTGTAAGATGTTTTATTTATTTATTTTAACTTTTTCATTTATTTATTTATTTTAGCCTTTTCATTTATTTATTCAAGGCTGTTATAGTTAACTAAAACTAAAACCATATTTTAATCAAATAAAATATAAAAAACCTTAAACAGATTTGAATTCAGCTAGTTGCCAAGGAAATATTTGTCATTTTCATTTACTTTATGCACTAAAATAACTATAAATAAATAAAATGAAAATAATAAAAACTACATAGACATTAAAAAACAATTTATGAATAAATAATAATAAGTAGTATACAAATAATAATAATATCAGAATATATAAAAATAAAAACTAATTCAGACTATTAATGAAAACTGTAATGTTAAAAATAACACTGTTATTAGCACTGTACTGTTAGATGTAATATATAGGGTTGAAAAGGGGTGGAACATTTCCGGAAACTTTCCAAAAATCCCTGGAATATTCCAAAAAATCCTGGAAAGTTTCCAAAATTTCTGGAATATTGCCGAAATTTACTGGAAATTATCCACCTTTTTGCAACCCTAGTAATATATATATATATTTAAATCTTATGTTTTATTATATATTTATTTTGTACATTTGTCACTGTTTTCCTCTAAACTTTTCCACAGACTCCAGTTTGAAGACTCCTTTTCTAGAGTACATATTTTATAAGTAAGGAAGGGTAAATATTTGCAGCTGATGGCTTTTGTCTCGGCAGGGCTGATTTTTCTTTAAGATCTGACAAAGTTTTGTGAATGATGACACATTAATCTATGATAACATGTAAATCAGCCACTTGACTCAGATGGGAGACGCTGGATCATTAACTTTTGATTGTGAAACACGTTCTCTATACGTCTCGCGTCATGATGCTTTTATGGGTGACACAGTTTTTGTACCACATACTGTGCAAACTTCCCTTTTTGCTTGCGTGCATCTTTAAATATAAATTATTCTTATAGCCGCAAGATTGCAATAGCTGCTTCTTACACAATATCAATAGGTGTTTTTTTAGTCTCTGTGATATTCTGGTCTCTAGATGTCGCATGACTAACCATAAGCAATAGTAATAGCGTTTGCTTTTACAGTCAGTGCTACTAAAAATCTCTGGTGTGGCATAAACTGAAGTGTTAGTAACCATTTCAACAGACCTACAGGAAGCTGAAGAACCACAATGGGACCGAAGACTGAAGACTAGTGTATGTGAGTGGCTGGAAGACCATCGAGACCAGAGCTCAGCAGAACCGGTTCTGATGGCAGAAAACGTCCCGTCTGGTCTGTTGGAGGCGTGTGTGGTGCTCGGAGTATCCAACGACCGTCTGAAAGAACTAGGCCTGGTGACACGTCTCAAGCTGTTTATTTCAGTGTTCACAGCCATTCTGTGCAAAATGTTGAGCAAAACACTATGAAAATGCTGGTTAAAATTCTGTTGATAATTAATAATAATGATAATAAAATAACAACCTTTTTTATAAAATAAATGTGAATAATTATACATACAGTATGTAATATAATTAATAAAATCCCATGTAAAATATAAGATATTGTCCTGTATGATATCTTATATATCATCCTGTATAA